TCCAAAACACAATTACATAAAATTCTTCAAAAAGTTAAATGTAAAATATTGTATTAAAAATGTAAAACAAAAAAATGAAATGATACAGGTACCAAAAAAACATTGTTTATAAGTCTTTACAAAATGCCAATATTTTTATAACATTTGATTAACTGTAAAACTGATGGATCCTGAAATATATGATTGCCTAAAAGCTACTTCGCAGATAATGCATCAGCTTTGATGTTAGAATGAGTAGGACTTATAGAATGAGTAGGACTGACAGAAGTTGAACTAGCTTTGTTGTAGAATGAGTAGGACTAACTATCAAATTGTCCGTCAAGGAGCATCAAATTTGTTGCATGTTATATCCTGCATAAATATTTATTTTAAAATACAAAAGTGATTTAATTGCAGAGTCCGGTATGGTCGCATCGAAGTACAATGTTTCTGTGAATCTGCAATGAATAACGCATCACACTTCTAACAGAATTTGGAAAGTTATTTATAAATATAAACTTCCTTAGCCTTGCAATACTCATCTTCTTATAAGCAAAGTCGGATTCAATATTTTATCTGGACAGTCTGTTTGTAAACACAGAACTTAAGATGAAAATGACAGACTGCCATTTTTAGTTAAAGAATCTTTGTTTCTTCAAGTAGAGTAACTGTGCAAATTATATTTCCAGGAAACTAATGTTACTGTTTGGAGTAAACTTTAACTAGGTACGTGTGTAAAAATTTTAAATTGTTTAAATATTAGATTTTTGTATGTGAAAATGGAAAGATTTTTAAAAAATATTCCAAAATTGAAAACTTTATCAAAATAGCATAATTCTTCGAAATGTTATTAGCATTACTGTAACGAAATGAGATTACCAGGATTCCTTAACAAACCTGTGACCATGTTATAGTGGTTTTGTAACTTAAACTGCCTTAACGTTGTCAATTCTTTTCTAAATGCATATATCTTGGTATCAAAAGATAGGTGTAACATTGGGCTAAAAGTTTTATTAGCTTTTAACATCCGTGCATGTAAAGGAGGCTAGAGGGGGAACAAAAGAGCTTACTCTGCCATCAACAAATGCGCATTTCTTCCATTAGAGATTTCTTCCATTAGTAATTTTATTA